ACCGGTAGACAAAACTGATAAAACGAAAAAGAAATTGTATCGCGAAAGAGATAATTTATCAAGTACAAAGGGGACAAAATTACCGGTGTACAATATGAATTTTACAACTAAAATCGACTACTCGCTGCAACACGTCCGTTATATTTTACAAGGAGAATGATCATTAATATCGTTCATTGATATTAATTTCTGTCAAGCTTCGTAATTATCTGACAGGGCATGTGATCATTTAATGGATTATTATGCGCTTCCATCTGAGTATTAACTCATTTTCCGCGTTTTAAAAAACAGCTCGACACGGGTCGTTGGTAATTTTCGAAATTGTTTACACGCGATGCCTGGGCTCATTTACACATGGCGAGAAATATTTTGTAAAATATTAATATGCGCAAAGTTTGCGCTTTACGCCCGATATTTACGGTAACAAAATATTCCCACTTGGAATGAAAAATTAACGAATACAAGGGAAATTTGATCGCGTCCGCGTTAGAGGAAGCAGAAAAGAAGAGGGGGGGAGGGGGGAGGGGAGAGAATTATTTTTCCGCCTGGACCAGTGGAAAACTGACGAGAGACTGAAAGACGCGTAGCGAACAATCGATATCGTAAATAAGAAAATAATATCAAACGACACGGACGAGTGAAACTCACATTGTGAATATCGAGTCGTCGCGGTTGGGGTCGTTTGATAGAGTGCCATTCCACGCAGTAACCACAAAGTCGTCCTTTTGCCGCTTCCCTCTCTCTCTCTCTCTCTCTCTCGAGCGCGGTTCGTTAGGTCGTGCTTTCCAGCGCTAATGCCGCTTTGAAGTTTTTCGGGTGGCGTTTCTAAGGCGTTGCATCCTCGCTCGGCGAGGAGTAGATAAAGACAAAAAAAAGAAGGTGCCGCGTCATTTTCGTCAATTTAACTTCGGTCTCCCTTCCTGGTAGGCCACGTAGGATCGCTCGGCATTTCATCCCCCACCGAACCATCCTTCTCGCCACGTCCGCCCCTGTGGGCCACTCACCCCCACCCTCAGCGTATTCGCCTCGTCTCACTTCGTCTCGCCCCTCGGCGCGCGGCTTGCTTCGCCTCGTCGAAGCGAGGTCAATCGACGGAGAGGGCTGAAGACGACCCCCACCCTTCGTCACCAGCCTCCCTACCACGGCTACTCAATATCGTTTCATTACGCACCCTGCTCCGCCATACCCATCCTCCACCTCCACCCTCCGAGTGCCTCACTACCCGCCACCCCCGTTGCGCCTGCACCGACACCCGTCGCCGCTGCACCCTCCCATCTCTTCCTCGCCCTCGTCACCCCTGACCCTCCTCCGTACTACACCACCCCTTCCTCCTCTCCCGCCCCTTCCTCCTTCTCCTCCTCCACCGACTCCTCCGACTCCTTCTTCTCCTTCTCCTTCCTTCCTTCTCCTCCTTATCCTCCTTCGCCTTCATTCTCTCCTCCGCCTCCTCGGCCTCCTTCTCCTCGTTCTCTTGCCGCTTCATCCCCTTGAAACCGTCTCGTTCCTACCTCGGCGACGAAACACGAATGCCCACGAATTTTTATTGTTACTTCTCGCGCTGCTTCCTCTCGCCCCCCCCCCCTCTCGCGACCTTTTTTTATGCGCCTTTTAACGATCAGCAGTAACTGCACCAACCCGAACACTCCTCCTCGTCCTCTTTCCCTGCCTCCTCGCACCGCTTTGCCTTTCTCGGTCCTTTTCCACCCTTCCTTCCTTCCTTCGTCTTATAAGCGAGCGTTTTCGAGGATCGGCCAGGGCAGGGTGCGGGGAGCGGTATATGGATGTTACAATGGGAAAAAAGAACGGGATAGCCGAGCGGAAAAATGTACCCTTGCAAAGTATTCGTTTATCTTGCACGATATAACGAGCAATAGCTAGAGCAAATAAACTTTCGGCCGTTGAATTTTTTTTCAATTCGATGAAAAAACAAACTCTCCCTCTCTACATCTCTCTCCCTTTCTCTTTCTCTTTCTCCTTCGTTGTATCTCGCGTCGACGCGCACGAATTTCATGGGCCTACCTTCGATTCGATTGTTGCGCAAAAAAAAAAAAAAAAAAAGAAAAAAAGAAAAAAAAAGGAAAAGAGAATTTTTAACGCTCAATTTTAATTTTCGACCGTATACATCGCAGCGAGGGATTTTCCGTTTGGAAATATAAATATATAGTCTTCTCTAGTTTGAATGCATCAGCAGCGAGCGTCAACAAATGCTTGCCGAGTTGGTACACGTGGTGTACCTATCTGTCAAAGCGGCAGATCTGTCTGCAAATATTTTCACTCTGTATATATATAGATATATATATATACGTACTCTACACGTCGATCCTCTCGTTCCTAGTAATCTGCCGTGTCGTGCGGTTGTGCGATGCCCTCGCGACGATGCAGCAACGACGAATCGGCATCCTTACCGTTCTTAACCACACCGTGGAAATATCTCGCGGCCCGATATCGTATCCGACATCGATCCGAAAATTCGAATCGATGGTAATTGGCATCGCTTCATTACGTTCGGCACCGTGGCGCGCCCGTATTCCACACAACACGCACGGAACAATCGTACGTGATCGATCCGACTTTCGAAATCGGAATTACGGCTGACGTCTCGCGAGTTGCTCGAGGAAACCTTTCCTTTCAAAAAACCGTCGGCACATCGATCGTCGCCGCGCGTACGCAACGGGGTTCAAGCAACACGTGCAACGTAACAGGTCGCGATAGCGGTTGCTCGCGTGAGCCGGAACGATCGTGCTCGGTTCACAGCAAAGTCGCAGCGTGCAGCAGCATCTTGACGTTTCGAGGTATTAATCGACGACACTGAATCACGACAACAACGACCACGACGACGACGACGACGACGACGACACTGACACCATGGATTTCTTTCACAGTCCTGCGACCCGGACGAAACACACTACTCGGCTAGCTGGACCACAGGCCACGTTGCACACCAAAAGACAGAGGGGAATCGGTATCGCGGACCCGACGTGGATTTCCAACACCGCTGCTACCCTTCGTCACCCTTTCCCGAACGCTTACTGGTTGATCTCCGAAGATCATGGAAGTCTCGAGAGGAGTACGCCGGCAGAGGTCCAACGCGCACATACGCAGCCCTCTTCCTCGCGCTCTTCCTCTACACCACCCCACCCCACCCCCCCTCGCGCGTTTCCGCTTTCTCTTTCTCCTTTTCTCGGCAACCAGCCACTACCACCTTGCTTTTTAGAATCTTCGGTAGTGGCCGGGAGGAGGAGAACCGATCGCGAAGAAAAAAGTGGAAATACGACGAGGGGGTTTGGGAAGAAATCGAAGGGCGGGCTGGAGACGGCGGCGGCGGAGGCGGTGGAGTCAGTGCGAGGGGGTCAGAGGGGCGGGGGAAGGAACGGTCGGTCGTGCGAGGTAGAAAGACGGAGGGGCGGGGGGGGGGGGCGGGGGCGAGGGGTTGAGAAGGACTCGCGAAAATTTCTCGACCACCAGCGGCAGCTGCGTTCCGAAATGAGGAGAGACGCGAACGAGAGAAGAGGTAGTAGTAGTAGTAGTAGTAGGGACAACGAAGCCAGCTCTGACGGGGGAATAAAGGTAACCGGAGGGGGAGGGGTTCGAAGGTGGCGGAGGAGAAGGAAGAAGAGGGACGAAGGGTGGCGAGGTTACGATAGTGGAGGAAGAAGCGTAACGGCGAGTACACGCAACAGCGGCGCGCGTGGAAACGCGCCTTCTACGAGTAGCAGAACTCTTCTCTTGACGGACTAACCCGAAAGGCGGAAGAAGGTGGGAGCAACGGGGGAGGGGGGGAGTAGTAGGAGCATAATGGTGGGGGCGTAAGCGACGAGTGGGCAATAGAGGGATGCGGATCGGCAAGAGGGAAAAAGGGTGAAGGTGGAAGGAAGGGAGGTAGTAAGAAGAAGAAAAGAAGGTTTCGGGCGGCGGCCGGGATCGCTCGGTTGTCTGTGGTCAAGGCACGCAGCTTGTGCAGTATTCTCTGCGCGTCTTACTCTCTTATGTATAGAGGCTGTCGCAGGTGCGACGACGGTGTCGATGGTTGCCGAAGAGGGGTTGTCGCGCGAAAGCAAGACGGAGAGGCAGCTGTTCTTCTTCTTCTTCTTCCTCCTCCTCCTCCTCCTCTTATCGCGCACTCCGCGTCTGATTCGAATCGAGAGTCGAGAAAATTTTTTTCGTCGTGCGTTTCCTAATTTCCCCTTTCCTTCGGCGATTGGACGTTTCACGCGTTCACGAAAACGATTTTCAAAACGAAAAACTGAAGCAACTGGGAAGTTTAGCCCTGTTTCTGCGGGAACGCCGGAAGCGGCGTTATTTCGTGAAAATTGTGGAGAGAGGTGAAATATTGTAGAATTTAACAACGCGCGGCAAGATATACGCGCGAAATATCGCTCTGTTTCTCGACAACGTGCAACCACCCTGTTGAACGTACGGACACGAGTAGGAGTCACGCCTGGCTCACAGTCAACCAGGATTCGGCGTTTCGGTTCGCAACAGGTCTCACCACCGGCGTTCATTCTCTCTCTCTTTCTATCTTTCCCTCTTCCCCTCTTTTACCCCTCTCCCTCTCTATCCCGCCCTCACCCTCTCGCCACTCAAACCCCAGACTCACCCCACCCCGTCACGGCCCCATCCCTCCCCCTCTCTCTCTCTCTCTTCCTTGCTCTCTCCCACATCACACATAGATGCTTGACTCTTGTTGTTGTATCTATATATCCTTGACACGTTCAAAGAGTCACCATGTGGAACACAAGTCAACGTGATCGTGCGAATTATTCCTAATACTCGCGAAAACTCTCGCAGTAATGCGTCATGGTAATTGCAAAATAACCACCTACGCGTCGAATTAGGCCCCGAAAAATTAACAAGAGGAATTAACGCGACGAAAAGAAGAGAATAAATGAAGCGTGACGAAGAGCGAAGAACAAAGCACGAAGTACGCGCGTTCTCCGAACCGCAGCAGAGTTCATGACCTAGAAAGGGATGAAAACGGGGTTGGTCGCAATTTAACTCACCGACTACGAAGACCATATTCTTTGTCCATCGCAGCAGCTCCCGTCGGATGTGTCTGCGTTCCTGTATGCAACGGGCATAGGGGCAATCCGCCATTTTTGAAATCACATCTTAGAATGAATGTGTGTGCGTGCCGGCCGGGTGCGCCTGCCTCGAGTTCCCGCGTGGATGTCCACCCCCCACGCCACCGGCCGTCCTCCGTCCTCGTCCTCGTCCTCGTCGTCGTCGTCGCCGTTGTCGTCCTCGTCCTCGTCCTCGTCCTCGTCCTCGTCCTCGTCCGCGTCCTCCTCCTCCTCCTCCTCCTCCTCTTCTTCCTCCTCCTCCTCTTCCTCCTCCTCCTGCTGCTCTTCCTTCTGTTTCCCTTGCTTCTCTCTCAGCGTTCGATCGATCGACTTTCTCGATCCGTTATTCCTTTTGATTCTGCTCGTCGTAGTTTGTCCGATGTTTCTTTGTGGTTGAACGCGCGCCGTCGGGGAGGACACGAGGGAGGAAAGGCAGCGTGTGTGCAGACTGCCGGTCTAACGTTGTGTACGATGAGGATAGAACGTCACGCGCTCCAAGATCGGGCAAAATGTTCGAGGGCGATTGACGAAAGTCCGATGGTCAGGTTTGCGTTCGCGGTGGTCGTGTTATTCGTCAACGTCCTCGTCTTCGTTCTCCTTCTCCTTCTATTCCTCTTTGTCGCCGTCGTCGTTGTCGTCGTCGTCGTCGTCGTCTTTGTCTTCGTGTTGTTGTTGTTGTTGTTGTTGCTGCTGCTGCTGCTGTTGTTGGTGTTGGTGCTGGTGTTGGTGTTGGTGTTGGTCTTGGTCTTGGTCTTGGTCGTCGTTACGTCGGCTATGGCGGTGCTTCTTTGCAAATGTTGGAGGGATGGTGAGCCGATAGCAGCGTCGGTGGCGGTAGCGGTAGCGGTAACGGCGGCGGTGGCGGTGGCGATAACGGTGGCGGCAACGGCGGCGATGTTGCTGGAGTAGGGATGAGAACGCCGAGAAACGACTACTCTCTCGTGTTGAGACAGGGTTAGGGCACGGAAACGCACAACATACGTGCACGCTTGCGCCCTGAACGGTGCGAGAGTGCAGTCTGTCGCCGCCGGCAAGTCCTGCCTTTTACTTCCTCTTTCGGCTTTCTTTCGCTTCGACCGATTTCGCCGTTCACGCTCACCCCTCCGATCCTTTCGTCCGGCCTCCTTTCCAGGAAACCGCTACTCTCTTCGGTATTACCTGCAACACAAATTCAGTAACGTTCGTTACTCTTCCGGCGATATCGTAGCCACGTGTGCGTAGCAGTGGCATATCGCTGTGCGATTTCTCTCGATCGTGGCGATCTGGCTATCTGGTTTCGCGGTCGATTCGCGGATGGATCGCGAGTCGGACCAGGGTTCGATGGTAATCACGGTCGGTCACGAGAAACGGGGACGAGGACCCCGTGGCGAGGAGGAAGGTTTCGCGCGGTGCGACACCTGCGTGTAAGAGAGGCGATGGGTGCTGCTGGCCCCACCCCGAAACAGAAAGGGTGCCGCTACTCGAAATGAAACATTGCCGGTAAGAAGAACGTCAGGGCCGATGGTGTAGGTAGGAAAGGTAGTAGGGGAGACTCGCACTCTCGCGCGGTGACGCGATATGGGCAGAAAGGGTAGGAGGATGGAGGGGGAGGCAGGAGAAAGAGGAAGAGGAAGAGGCGCGCAGGGTGGTCGGAGGGTAGCTATAGGGGCGGATTCGCGCGTTCTACGCCAGCAAGGGGGTGGGAGAGCGTACCGCCGAGAGAGAAAGAGAAAGAGAGAGAGAGAGAGAGAGGAGGCAGAGTGCGCCTAATATGCAACAAGAGAAAAAGAATTGGCGATCAATAGGTAGTAGCTGGTAAGCGTCCTTTCATCCGCCCCCGCGGACACCCTCGTCCTTTCTACTTGCCCTATTCCCCTCTCGTCCACCGTTCACCTCCTTCCTTCTCGGTTCCCTCTATCCTCGGGCCCTCCTCCCCCCACCCCTCCTCCTCCTCCTCCTCCTCCACCACCTCGCCAGTCTCCGTGTCCTACCTTGCCAGCCCCCTTGATTCTCTTACGTTCATCGCGAAACTCCTTCGCTCCATCGCCTTTGTTGTCGAGATACCCGCCCTCACTCGGCCGCCTAAACTTTCCCTTTGTCGCCGAAAATCAAACGTCTCCTAATTTGCTTCTCTCTATTTTTCCTTTCCTCCTTCCGCCACGCGACTCTCTCTCTCTCTCTCTTTCTGTCTTGCTTTCTCTCTCTCTCTCTCTCTCTCTCTTGCTTTTCCCTTTCTTTTCTGTTCTACTCCTCTCGCAACAAACTTTCGAGTAACTCTCGGTTACACGTGCTAACGGACGACACGAACGGGGTAGCGGTCGGCGGGCGCGCTCGCGCGCACGTCCGTGGGGTGTTATACCACGTAGCGTAGCAAGCACACACACACACACACACACACACACACATGAGCAAGAGAGAGAGAGAGAGAGTGGTAGTAGTTTCGAAACGTGGCACGAGAGATCTCGTTGAAATCTTAACGACGCGCACAAGTTATAGATACAGTGTACCACATCGTGCGCCACTTTCTGTGAAAGAAATTTTATCGAAATTACGCCTGTAACGCGCTCTATCTTGCCGTTAATTTCCTAATAAACACGGGGCAGCGAGACCTGCGGGCTAGGTCCGGATCGATCTTCATCTACTTGTCAAGAGGCGGAAGATCGATAGTATTTCGTCGATATACGACGCATGTACGGCACCGGTGATCAAAATCGGAGCGGTAGCATTCGTTAAAAGCGTTTGATTCTCTGTGTTGATATTCCACTCGCGCATGGACGCCGTCCGATGAATAGAAGCTAGCCGTGGGCTAGTACGGCGATACCACTGACGCCCGGAAGATCGATTGGATACTCGTGCTAGGTAAGCCCGTACGAACAATATCGATGAAACACACGGCGACTTTCTGTTCCGCAGTTCTACACGTTTGTTCCACATTTTCGCGAGGATGGCGATACAACGCGAGGATCCAAGGCTCGTTTCTCGCGCCGTTTCGTTGAACTTTTGCAGACTGTAGGGGGGGGGGGGAAACTTGGAATTTCGTTGGTCGCTGATAGCCGAGTAATTAGGTAAAATTTCGCCGGTTGTAATCTGCCCCGTCAACCGTCCCCAATCGTCGAAAAAAGAAAAAAAAAGAAAACAAAAAACAAAAAGAAAAGAACGAAGGAAAAAAGAGAGAGAAAAAAAAAGGGAGAAAGCACGCGAACGCTTTTGCTACGCGTTCCACTTTCAGCTCGGTGCGCTTCTGTATACGTGTACGGGAGCTTCAACCGATGTCATTGAACCTTCGCAGGCATGCTGGGCGAGGGAAAAGTGACTAGACTCTCAGAGTACCTTGAAGTGGTCGGAGTTCTAAGATGCTCGAGTTTTGCCATATTAAGTATTTCTTTGTTCAATCCTCGTCCATTTCGACGTTTATCTTTTCATTTCTTTTTTTTTTCTTTCGTTTTCTTCTTCTTCCTTTTAATTTCTAACTACACGCTACGCGCTACGTGAACACCACGTCAATCGTCTCTTTCGAAAAAATTTCTTTTTGTTTTTCTCCTGTTCTCTTTCTCCCTATCCGCGATTCGTTTAATTCCCCGGATGTAGAAGAGCCAACAAACTCTCATTGGTGTATCTGTACATCTTGGACGGTCACCTTACTCGCTCGGTTCCTAATCGATTTTCCCATTACGCGAATCCGGGGAGTGCTTCGCACACACTCGCTTCGTTTTCCGTCGTTCCGTGTCCAGCCTGCATTTCCGTCGACGAACAAACGGTTCTCGATTCCCCTGTCCCATCTTCCCGCCCTATCGCGGCCGTCCTTCTCTACCCACCTTCTTTAAGCACATCCGCGCGCGCCGTGTTTTCTTTTCTACAACCGTGCGACGGCCTTGCGCTAGACCCGCGGACACGAGTCGATCCCCGAGCACGACGTAATCGCGATTTCAACGTTACTTTCTAATAATCGCTGGTACGTACATCGCTTACAGATCGGCCGATCCGGCCGCTCGCAAACCGTAGATCATCGGCTCGCTTGCTTTTGTTGCAAATGGGACACGTCGTGGGCACGGGACGTGCAATTTTCGATCGATCGATAAGATTTTATGGCTAATACGGGCAATTTGGTAGATAAATTGGAACACGGAGGGGGGATAGATCGTCGATAATCGAAATGCCAGGGACTTTATAGATCGTCGGTTGAAACGGGCAGGCTGGAAATAATCGGAAATTTCCATCTTGGAATTTTGGTTTAATTAGATTCGTATAAATCGGGAACGTACGATTATCGTTTGAACACGGCAACGCGTTGGAACGACCGGTTGAATACCGATTCGGGAATTGTTAAAAGTTAATAAGTAATTAAGGGAGAGTCGGGACTCACACGCGTGTGAGCTGTGCGTGGAGCAGTGGAAAGATTCGTTGCGTTCGATCGGAGGTCGCTGGTAATGTCATTCGAAGTCGAAGTATTTTTTTCCCCGTGGCGGAAGAAGAACCCGACGAGACGGAGGGAGAAGGATGGCGGAACGACGGCAGCGAAGAGGGGAGACGGTGGGACTGCTTCAGGAAGAGCAGTCAGGGGGCGGTGAAGGAGAAGGAGGATGAGGACGAGGATGAGGACGAGGATGAGGATGAGGAGGTGGAGATGGAGAGATGGCAGAGGAGGAGATGGGAAAGGAGGAGGATGAGAGTTGGGAGGAGAGAAGTGGGAGAGATGGTGCACTCGGTTTTTTCTCTGTTGGGGGAGGCAATGGGCGCGAGGCAAGGGTGCGTTGGATTCGGTTACTTGGTCTCACCCCTTGGACCACCTCCACCGGCGGTTCTAGCGGCAGCAGCAACAGCGGCGACGGTGGCGGCGGCAGCGGTGGCGGCGGCGGCAGTCGTGCACTCTCTTTTCCCGTCTCTCTCTCTCTTTCTCTCTCTTTCTCGACTGCTCCTCTTTTCTCTTTCTCCTTTTTCTCCTCTTTCTTTCCCGCTCACTCTCAGTCCCTCGCTCGGCTTTCGTTTCCTCTTTCTTTCTATCTCGCCTTCTCTTGCACTCTAACTCTCTCTCTCTCTCTCTCTCTCTCTCTTTCTCTCTCTCTCTCTCTCTCTCTTCCCGTCGCCGTCTCTGTTCCACGCGCCTCAGCACGGTGCTTCTCGTTTTTTTAACGAAGGATCCGCTCAATACCTCGGCTGTCATAACCTCCCGGCACCCTTCCAGGGTGGCCCGGCTGCCACAGCAAACCCACCCTCAACCCTCCGCCTTGCGCCTCCACGGGGCCCACCGACCCTCCCGACCGACGAGCCACCACCTAGCACCCCCCCGCGCTCTCATTCCTCTTCCCAGTTTTTAACGTTTCGTTCGACGTTTCCCTCCGGGCGAGAGCCAGGCACGGCGTAAAGGGGGAAGTGCATTTCGTCGTTACTTTGTTTTACGCCTCCTCCTCTTTCTTTCATGCTCTCCTCTCGTCTCTGTTCCTTTCCCCTCTCTCTCTCTCTTTCTCTCGTCTTCCATCTTCTCTTTCTCTCCCCTTGGCTCACGTACGACCACATATCCTCTCACGCATACTCGTTCACCGTGCCTCTCTTTCTTCCTTCCCTTACCGACACCACCACCCCTCTTACTCTCTCTCTCTCTCTCTCTTCCTCGATACGTCTCCTTTCTTTTCCTCCGGTCCAGTATCCTCCATCTACCTCGCCCCATGCCTCCGCCACCCTTCGGGCCACACACGCACTCGGCCGATCCTCCCCTTGCTTTCGCACCCCGAGTTTTTCGTACGTTCCTCCACGGTCATATTTAAAGCCCACCTGTGCTCTTTGAATCGGCTCGCGGACGGCTCTTCCACGGTGAGGAACACCGTTGACTTTCAATTTGACCGAACACACACACCTAACCGTGGAAGGACGATGCGCGAGAGCGTAAAATTCCATTTTTCCACGAAGGCAGCTGACTTTTTACAGGAAAAAGAAACATTAGTGCGCGAGCAAGAGAGATTCTGGTCCGGTTGTTTTAGAGAGGGTGACACAATTGACCACGAAACCCTCGTCGCGCTCGACCTCTTTTGATCGAATCTGTGAACGATGAACGGTCGGCTGCACCCCCAAAATCGTGTTCGGGTCTGCAAAGATTTTTAAATTCTGGCATAGGATACACTCTCTCTCTCTCTCTCTCGAATCGTACACGATGAAAGCTATCTGTGCCACGTGCTCTATATTTTTCTCGCCTTCTTTTTAACGCGCGATATATCCGAGAAAGAGAGAGAGAGAGAGAGAGAGAGAGAGATTAGTTT